GAGAAAAAAATTGAAGCTTTCATCTTTTATCAAAGAAGCCGCCACCACAAACCCTCCCTTTTAGCTTGCGATTTTTGCTCCTGAGCAGCTCCCATTTGCCTTGACAAAGCAGGTCGTCGTTCCCTTGGTTCCCTGTTTCTCTCCGAAACCAAGGGAGCCTTCTCCTTTTTTTTTTTCTCCACACTGCTGGAACCTTCCTCTCTCTCAGCCGCTCACTTCCCCTCTTTAAAAAAAAAACAAACTAGAGGCCAGCTGCCCTCTTCCCTTAAAGAAAACAAGAGACATCTCTCTTCCCCTTCACTCTCCCCTCTCGCCGGCAGCTTCAGCCTCCATCACAGACCGAGCCAGGTCTCCGGCCTCCACCAAGCCACACAGCAGCAGCCACCAAGAACACCGCCTAGCAGCCCGCAAGCTCTCGTTCTCACCAAGACCAGAATCGGCCATTGGCAGCTGCACAGACACGACAGAAGCTCAGCCGCCAGCCGCCCCTGTGACATTTCGCTGGCCACTTGAAACAGATGAGATGGTGAAACAAAAGAGAAGAAACAGATCTGAAACAAGGGAATATGGACTCAGATCGGGAAAAGAAGGGAGCCTGGGAACAGAATGAAAAAAAAGGGAAAGTTAAAAACACTGTTGTTGCGATTTTGTTGCTTTGTAGGTGATGTTGTTCTCATCGTCGGTAAGAGAGGGAAGAGAAGAAGAAAGCAGGCCAGACTCCCCTGTTTCCCTGCTTATCCAGCGGCGGCGCGTGCCACTGTTCCGGCAGTCCAAAAACCTTCCTTCACACTGCTCCATTATGCAGAAGGGCCTCCCCAGCAAATCCCAGATTCTTTGGGGCTATTTTTGTAATTTGTGGTTTTTTTTTTATGTAATGTTGGTTTTATTTGAAATTTTGATAATTTGTGATATGTAAATGTGGGTGCATGAGAAAATAATAAAAAAGGAGATGTGTGTGGGTGTGTTTGTTTTTTTTATGTTATTGAATTATAAAAATAAAAAAAAAAAAGATAAAAAAGAATTAATTGTATAATTTGAATATGATTAAATATCTTAAGGATAAATAAAATCAAGTTATATTTTCCATGAAAGTGTAAGAACAAGTTTCTACACAAATTCGGGGATTTAATAACTGATTTATTAAAACCTTAGAATTTAATTAATATTTTAAATTTTTAAATCATCAAATCACAAAGCAGCTTACCTTAGGTAGGGTGTGCTAGGGGTGCTAATACCTTCTCTAGCCACAACTAGTCCCTTACCTTTGAATTTCTGACAAAGACCAGTAAATTTGGGTTTCCTAGTAACCTTCATGTAAATACTAGGTGGCGACTCCCAAGACCCCAAATCAAGCAAAAAGAATGAAAAATCGCCGAATCGCCGCGCGGGGGACGTGCGACACCAAACATCCAAGGATCATTTTCAATGACCTTTTATAGGTCATCTTTTGTTTTGAAACGAAACATTGTAAATCTATTGGCCAAGGATGTCACATCTTTAAGGCCAAACCTCTTTCATATCCTGTGAGCAATTGAATTCATAGCAGACTAAGAAAGCTTAAAACCAGGAAAAAAACCTACTAGGCAACAATGCCACACCGTAGAGGATTTATCCCATAATCCCTTAGTCATTTTGAGACGAGAGCCAACCAGCTTACAAGGGATAGGGTCAGGAGTGCATCGAGTGTTAAAGTCGGTAACTCTTATCTTATTAGCCCAAAAACCCGAGGGGGGAGTGGGTTGGATAGAGGTTGGGGAGGCTGTGTTTTGGGTGTTTTGGTGTTGGTTTGTGGGATTTTTAGTGGTTGAGGGTGTGTTGTTAGCTTTGGGTGTTTGGGTTTTCAGATTGAAAGTCATGACAGATTCTGGGCAGAGCTTCAAACAATAATTACTTACCAATAATTCAAATAATAACAAATCCCAATGGTACAAAGGTAAACATGCATCTTATGTGGCACATATCCAAATATCAGCTCAAGTTAACGGTTGGATCTCTTTGGATCGAAGTTAGACCAAAACTGACCTAAGATTAACGAACCATTGTTGAACATGCCTAACACTCTACTAGATGGTTTCATCTTTTTCCATTGTTCAGAATGTGTAATACAACCATAAAATATGTGTTTTTTCTAATGCATCATATATCATATACCCTTTTTGGTATATTAATGTTCCCTCTCAAGCAACATTAGATTAGTGGGATTGTTGAAATCTCGCATGATGTCCATTTCTTAGGCAAATTATTGAGAATAATTAACATTTGATATTTCATGTAGAACTCATAAATACCACTTATAGTCAGTCTACTCATCTAATGATATATTTAATCAATATGCTCTAGAATTTTGTGAATAAGATTAATGGTATAATCTAATAAATCACATCAATTTGTTGTTATCTATCCACTACAATAAAAAAAATATTTTAAAAGCACATAAATATAATAATTAAGGTTATAATAAATAGATTTTGAGGTGTGAAGATGACTATCTTTAAAGTATTAATTGACCCCACTACATTTGTTATAGGGTTAAGGCAATATACCTTTAAGATACAAAAAAGCTTTAAATTTATAAACAACAACTTCTATAAGTTTATTATGAAGTTCTATTTTATTTTTGATAAATATAAACAGAGAGTTTATAAAGAAAAATTAGAGAAAGAAAAAGATTGTTTCTTATATATTTTTTTTGTCAACATTAAACTAATATTTATAAATAAAATAATATTATTTCAGACTAATATGTCTATAAAGTTTAGAGGCTCATCTCATTATACCAATGTGTCTGTAAAGTTTAAGGACATTCTTCTTCAGACCAATATATCTATAAAGGTAATAGTCACACCTCTTCAAACTAATTATTTGAACAATATAATAGAAGATGCCATGTATAATTATTAGATTAATTGATTTTAAAGTTTTAATTAATTATCTCAAATTAATGAATTTCAAAATAATAATAGAAGGCATTTATGTTACATAATGCCAAATGTCATCATAATCATTTAAAAAATAAATAAAAACAAAAAAAAATTATGATACAATCAATATAGTCAAAATTCAATATCATGTCTGCAAATTTAACAAATATTTTTAGAATCTTTCTTGTAAATAATACATGGTGTAGTCATCGATATAAACAAAAACCTAATATTTATTCTTATGTATAAAAAAATATTTATATAATAATAAATATATTGCATAAAATCCAACAAAAAACACATCTTAAAACCATGCTATGATATCAATGTAGATATAAAGAAAACTTACTTGTAATGTGAGAATTTACTTTGTTGTTCCTAAATCAAATGTTTTAGTGATATTTTAATTATTAAAATTAAAAAGATATTACACAGTATAAATATTTATTTATATTTTATTAAGTTAATGCAGAGAATTCAAAATAAAAAAAATAAAAATAAAAAATTATATTCTTTAATCACTGAAAAACTTTTTTTTTTTTTTTTTTATTTTTATATGAGTTATATCTTTTTATATCTAATTAGAGGTTGTAGTTATTTGTTTTTGTAATTTTTCTAAATATTTAGAGCAGTTTCATTCCTTTTATAGACATAGACAGACCAAGCTTAACCCAGTCGGATGTATTCCTACCATGATTTGTTAGCATTTTCAGTGATTCAAAGAAGTAAAGGGACGAAGTCTTATCGCAATTTTTACTGTGATTCAAAGCCAGCAAACAAGCTGTTGGATTACTGAGTCCTGCAAGGGGCATCCGTCAGCCTTTCTTCCCTCGAACAATGACAAAGGAAAATGGTTGTCTATTTGATCCGAAATCGTGAGAGCTGCTTGGTTTGACACCAAGCGTCAGCACTGCATTTTGAATGTATCTTCAAGCACGAATGTGCCACCATTATATCTCTCCGGTAGGTATAGGCCAATTGTTAAGGCCAGTTGTAATGTGTGTTTTGTCCCCTCGGACTAAACTGTTCTTTGTTCGGTTTATCGATTTTTTGATCAAATCAGCAGGCTCGGTCCGGTTCTTAAGACCACCCTTTACCCTCAGCATTGGGATTTAATTCAAGAAGATTGTGTAGGAATTTAATACGAGCAAGCATATTTTGCATATGAAAATTAAACAGATACTTAATTTATGATATAATTTAAAAACAAGTGTTTATAAGTATAATAATGATTATTTTTTAAAATATATTTTGTTTGAAAATATATTAAAATAATATATTTTTATTTTTTAAAAAATATTTTTTATATAACACTTTAAAAAATTTTAAAAAATTAATTTTTTTAAAATACAAAAACAAAACGAGATAGTACTACCATGTCCTCACATTGATACATGCTTGTCATTGTATGTAAATTCTCGAGCGCGCAAGCACGGGACAGAGAATCCAACATCTCTCCGAATGCAAAGAGCTCCCGCTCCGCAGCACAACTAATAAGGAGCAAAATGAAAGAAAATAAGAGCATGGAGAGAAGAAATCAATAAATGCAGCCAAGCACAAGCTGCACGGGGAGAGGGAAGCCAGAGAAAGCAAGCATAGAGCGTGTGCATAAATGCACTATGAACGACATTTAATGAGTCCCTTGTCAATTTCTCGCCTTCCTAATACGTTCTTGCAGCTTCTTACTCTATCTATAACAAATTCTATATGTTCAAGGATTAAACTTGTGATTAAGAAGTATGTTCCCCTTGAATGCATCGAGTCGATGTGGGGTACTTTTTAAGGTCGTCTGATGAGAAATCCCAGTCTCAGTTAACACGCAGGTTGGCTTAAAAATACCCGTTATCATCGAACCAAAAGGACAGAGACAAAGCCGATCAGACCAAGATTCATAGACTTGGAATCTAACGGATATAGCATGCATTAAAGCTAGCAAAAACATCTCGTGAAACCAGATGATATGGACTCCATGTATAGATCCTCAGGAAACGAGAGAGCCTTGTTCTCATTGTCTATAAGCAAAGGATCCTCGTGATGAAGAGCTCTTATATTTCACGAGTTTCGTATTCTTAGAGCCAAGAACTGTTGCCCGAGTCTCTCATCTTTGAATTCTCTCCAGCTCCTTCAAATACCCCGCAATTCTATCGCCAAATCATGCTTCAGAATCCTTGCAGAACAGTGGTCTTAACATGTCTAAGGAATCCAAAACACATCCCTTCTTTTCCATTCTTTTTTTCAACTTCTTTGCCTTCCTCCATGCACACACAGCACTCCAAACCTACATTGTTCAGCTCCATCCACATGGCACCACAAGGCCTTTGTTCTCCTCCAAGCCTCGATGGCATCTCTCGTTTCTTGAAAGAAGTGTTTCGTCTGAAGAACACCATTCCTCTCGGCTTCTTTACTCTTACAGTTCTGCCATGGAGGGTTTTGCGGCTATGCTCTCTGAATCAGAGATGGAGTCATTGCAAAAGTTGCCTGATGTTGTTGCTATTAGACCAGACATGAGGTTCCACCTCCAGACAACATATTCCTACAAGTTCTTGGGACTTAGCCCCACAAGAGAAAATGCTTGGTACAAGTCTGGGTTTGGTCGTGGAGTGATAATTGGGTTGCTTGACACTGGAGTTTGGCCCGAGAGTCTAAGTTTCAATGATCAAGGAATGCCTCCGGTTCCCAAGAAGTGGCGAGGGATTTGCCAAGAAGGACAAGACTTTAATTCGTCAAATTGTAATAGAAAACTTATTGGTGCAAGGTTCTTCACTAAAGGTCACCGTATTGCTTCTACCTCAGCTTCACCAGAAAATGTCCAGGAATATGCATCACCAAGAGATTCGCATGGACATGGCACTCACACAACATCCACAGCTGGAGGAGTCTCAGTCCCGATGGCAAGTGTGCTTGGTCTAGGTTCTGGTGTGGCTCGAGGCATGGCCCCTGGAGCACACGTTGCAGTGTACAAAGTCTGCTGGTTCAGCGGTTGCTACAGCTCTGATATCCTAGCAGCTATGGACGTTGCGATTAGAGATGGAGTTGACGTCCTCTCCCTCTCTCTGGGTGGCTTTCCATTGCCACTTTTTGCAGATACCATTGCGATTGGCAGTTTTCGGGCAATGGAGCATGGAATCTCAGTTGTATGTGCAGCAGGGAACAATGGCCCTATCCAAAACTCAGTTGCTAACGAAGCTCCATGGATTGCTACTATTGGTGCAAGCACACTTGATAGGAGATTTCCAGCTTTTGTCCAGTTGGACAATGGACAATTCCTTTATGGAGAATCCATGTATCCCGGGAACCGGTTATCAAGCACCACAAAAGAACTTGAAGTGGTTTATGTAACAGGCGGAGACAATGGGAGTGAATTTTGTTTCAGAGGTTCTCTCCCAAGGGAAAAAGTTCTCGGGAAAATAGTGGTTTGTGACAGGGGTGTTAATGGGAGGACAGAGAAAGGACTTGCTGTGAAGGAGTCTGGTGGGGCTGCAATGATCTTAGCCAATACCGCAATCAATCTGCAGGAGGACTCGGTTGATGTCCATGTCTTGCCTGCAACATCAATTGGTTTTAATGAAGCAGTTCGCTTGAAAGCTTACTTAAACTCTACTAGTAAACCTCATGCTCGAATTGTATATGGAGGAACTGTTATTGGGAAATCTAGAGCACCAGCAGTAGCACAGTTTTCAGCTCGAGGACCGAGTTATTCCAATCCCTCAATCCTCAAACCAGATGTAATTGCACCAGGAGTCAACATAATTGCAGCTTGGCCTCAAAATCTGGGTCCCTCCAGTCTCCCGGAAGATACTAGAAGGACAAATTTCACAGTCATGTCAGGGACATCCATGGCTTGTCCCCATGTTAGTGGAATTGCTGCCCTCATCCGCTCAGCTCACCCCAACTGGACTCCTGCAGCCGTTAAATCTGCAATAATGACTACTGCAGATGTAACTGACCATTCAGGACATCCAATAATGGATGGAGATAAACCGGCAGGAGTTTTCGCCATTGGAGCTGGACATGTAAACCCAGAAAGAGCCCTGAGTCCAGGACTAATATATGATATCAGGCCAGATGATTATATCACTCATCTATGCACTCTAAGATACACAAGATCAGACATTTTTACTATCACACAGAGGAATGTTAGTTGCAATGCTTTATTGCAGATGAATAGGGGTTTCAGCCTCAATTATCCTTCCATTTCCATAATCTTCAAGCACGGAACAAGAAGTAAGATGATAAAGAGGCACGTAACGAATGTTGGAAGTCCTAATTCCATCTACTCAGTTGAAGTTACAGCACCTGAAGGAGTCAAAGTGAGAGTAAGACCTCAAAGGCTAATTTTCAAGCACATAAATCAAAGTTTGAGTTACAAAGTATGGTTCATATCAAGAAAGAAAGCAGGAAGAGGGGAGGCAGACTTCGCAGAAGGGCATTTGACATGGGTGCACTCTCAACATGGACCTTACAAGGTTAGAAGCCCCATTTCAGTGACCTGGAAGTGACATGGGCGGTGCCGGTTTTGTGTACCACAACAGCCTGCTTTTACGTGCTATTAGTATTGCCTCAGAGGATAATGATCATTAAGAATTGGTGGAGTTTGCATTAATGAAGAAAGTTAATCTCTTATAAGTTGCAGTGACCTGGAAGTGACATGGGCGTTTTGTGAACTACAGTAGACTGCTTTTATTTGCTATTAGTATTGCCTCGGGATCATGATCATTGAGAATTGCTGGAGTTCTCATTGATAAAGAAGTTTATCTTTTTTAAGTTGAAGTTTAATGTACAATTGAACTCTGAGTGCATTTTTTTCAAGGTAATAAAGTTTTACTACCCTTCATTCTTGAACAAAACGACACACACGAAGCAGATTATCCATGATAAGCAGTTCTAGAGGCTATGAATTTGTGCCATTAAATTTCTATATTCAAGGGGAATGATTTGCAAAGAGATGCGAGGAAGTAAAACAATGTTAAAGAAGATACATATCCATGGCTAATCAATCATTGAATTGCACCCCACAATTAAAAGCTTTACCTTAATGACCATCCATCAATCCATCTTATCTCAAACTGGAATTTGAAACAGTAGATTTTATACATGAGAGGCACAGGTTCTAAAACCCTAGCCATCTCACTTACACATATGAAGTAGTGAAAGGAAGTGGAAGTGTACACCACTACTTAAGAACTGCAAAGTTTGTTAAAGAGAGGCAGAATGTGATGTTGCAGACAACCTAACTGAGCATCAACCAATGTCTTCAAGTTTTGCTTTTGAGCAATTTAAAAAACAGTAAGAGGACAGGTGAAAGAAAGAAGGGAAAGGGAAGGATATGCATTGCCTCATTTCTTGACGAATTGTAAGCCATTTGCATTAGCATATCTCTCCATGAATCTCATGAATCTGTCCCACTCTCTAGGAGTCCGCATGATATATTTTGCTTCTATTCTTTCTGGTTTGCCATTGACGAATTTGGCATTAACATCAACTGATTGAAGAATCCCTTCCTCATCGATCATGTAGAAACCAGTGATATCACCAACTTCAGCAGATGAGTCAAAAACTGAAGGTTGATCAAAGGTGAATATCGCCATGCCATTCGTACCATCTCTCGACTTAGTAAGCCTTACATCTGGTATAGTCTGTTCATCAGCTCCTTGAACAAACTGAATTGCTGGTTTCACCATCATAGTAACAAGTCCAGAGGTCCGCAACTTTCGTCTAATCAAGGGCAACCGCAGGCGAGGCAAGCACAACGATTGGCCATTGAATAGGGAGTAGGAACTCTTATTCACAACCCAAGATCCTGAGCGTGCCAAAAAAACAGGATAGACTCAGAGATTAGAGGTTTCACAAATACTAGCAAATTGAAATACGATGACTTAGTCTCAAGCTGACTCGAGGATACCCTTAACTTACAGTTTTGGATTTGGAAAACCACGAAGTTACCTCTACCGTATTGCACATTTATAACAAAGAAGATGGATGAATTCAAGCAGTTTTGCAAGAGCAAAGTAACCAAGTACCTGAGAAAGAACGGGTTTGGTGCTGCAAGTGCTGTGCCACAGGAGAGGCTAATGCAAGAGACTGCAGAGTTGCCATTGTAGTGTGAGTAATGAACGTATAGACTCTACAGAGATAGAGAAAGAGTATAATAAAGAGACCTCAGACCAGTGCTTGCTGTATGGGTATGGTGTCAAGAGAGGCGAGATGGTGTGTATCAATGACAGCCATTCACATTCTGAGCACCAAAACCACAAGGACTGGTCGGCAACACATGGTTAAGATTTTCCTAGCTTAGGTACTGTCTTGAGCCTGGCCATGCAGAGGTGGACAAATCTCTGCTTCTAATTCAGGCCTGATACCTGATGGGTCTGCTTGCTTTGGAGGTGGATCATGCCATGTAAGCCATTCTAAAATCATGGGCTTGCTTGAGGTGAAAAGGCCTACTTAATTGCATGCCCATCTCCTGCAACACAATATTGCCCACAAGCACCCTATCGTGTTCTATCTCTACATTTTAGCCCAAATATTTCATTCTTGAAGGTACTAAAACACAAGACATGGTGCTTTGAATCACAATGCTCGCCTCTTCATGAACTGTGTATCATGAGCCAGAAGATACATATTTCTTTGTATCTTTTTATTTTGAAAATAAAAAAATTGACTTCAAAACTATTTCGTGCCCCGCGCGCGTGTATATATACATACATATATATATATATATACATACATACATATATATATATATATATATGTATGTATGTGTGTGTGTTTGTTCCTTTAAAAGCATAAATATCAAATTTAACTAAAAATTAACCCATTCAAGAGGTTGGATTGCGGGTTATACGAGTTAATATAAAAAAATTAAAAAATATTTAAAAATTTAATATTTTATTTAAAGCATAGATATCAAATTTAACTAAAAGTTAACCCATTCAAGAGCATAGATTGGGGGTTATACAAGTTAATATAAAAAAATTAAATAATATTTAATATTTTAATATATTATATATAAAAAAATTAAATAATAATTCATATGAATATATATATATATATAATAAAGTTTAAAATAATAATTCATATGAATAAATATATATATATATATATAATAAAGTTTAAAAGAATATATATAAAAAAATTTATCTCATATTAAAAAGATATTATATTATTTTTTTAAATTGAAATATTTAAATAAATTTTTTTATCTCAAAAATATAATTTTTTTTTCTTATAAACATAGAGTATATATATTAAAAAACTTTAAATCTCATATTGAAAAAATAATTTTTTTATTGAAAATATAAAGTATACATACTAAAGAGTTCAAATCACACATTGAAAAAATAAAATATATTAAAAACATAAAGTATATATACTAAAGAGTTCAAATCACACATTAAAAAAATAAAATATTCTTCTAGTATTTATATAATGAACTTTGAAAAGAATTAGTAATCAATTAAAAAAATATAAAAAAAAACAGAGTTTAAGAGAAAAACCAGAAATTAATAATCAACTAGAAAAATATTAAAAAACAGAGTTTAAGAGAAAAACCAGATTTGAAAAAAAAAAAGGATCTCGTCTAAGTTTGTCTAGGTCAAAGATCGATCTACTACGTCAACTATGTTTTTTCATTAGCCAATTTTTTGCCTTATTTGGACTGGTCTAGTTATTGGATTCCAAGTCAACTCCCTGAGCTGTTTCGAATTTAATAACTATACTTAGAGAATAATATAAATTATAGAATATTATCTAACAGTTTAAATTATTGAATTAAGATGAAAGATCTTGTCTAAGTTTGTCCAGGTCAAAGGTCGATCTACTGGGTCAACTACATTTTTTCATTGGCCAGTCTTTTTCTTATTTGGACCGGTCTAGTTATTGGATTCCAAGTCGACCCGTCGAGCCGTTTCAAATTTAATAACTATATTTAGAGAGTAATATAAATTATAGAATTTTATCTAATAACTTAAATTATTGGATTAAGTTGATTTTTTATTATAGCATCAAAACTTTGATAACCAAGTTGTCACAAATTTGAATCTCACTACTTTTATTTATTTGATAAAAATTAAGTATAATTATAGTATCAAAGTTTTGATAATTAAGTTGTCACAAGTTTGAATCTCACCACTCTTATTTATTTGATAAAAATTAAGTATAAATATTTAAATTTTAAACCTAAAAAACTTTCATTTAAAAAAATATATTAGTATATTTAAATTTTAAATCTAAAAAACTTTCATTTAAAAAGATATATTAAAAACTAATATAAATTATATCTTGAAATTTTTTTTAATAAATTTAGATAACATCTTAAATTATGTTTAGTTTATTTACCTGTTTAAATTATTGGATTAAATATTATTACGTTTATGATTATACTGTATTTTCAAACCAAAAAAAAAACATTTGCAACCATGCTCTTGTCTTCGTCCTCGATAACAAGCAGGATATAAGGTTGATTGGCTATGGTTTCCGATGCCATGTAATTGGTAAATGCCAGGCATAGCATCCACCTCAAGCATGTGGCACATGGGCAGCCTCCCCTTGTCCCATCCTCCTTGTATTTCAGGATCATAAAAGGGCTGGCAACGCTTTGCCATGGCATAAATCCATGTGGAGCACCTCACGCCCTTCGCCCCCATGAACTCTCCAAATATTCACTGTTCTAGCATTTTTCAATCCATAAATGTCTGTATTCTTCTTCATTTATTTATGTAAATATATATGAGCTATGAACAGTGCTGCTCTTCCTCATGCTCCCCCCTCTCTCTCTAATAATAGGAAGCAGGGAATAGGCTTCTCTCTCTAGGAAGCTGCTGCTTCACATGGCCCCCATTTTCCTACTTTATTTTAACAAATACAAATTAAAAAAAATAAAAGCAATGCTGTTACTATGTCACTAACTCTCTGTTTCCACTTTGAAAAATAAAATTACTTCCACATGTGTGCATGTGAAATTTGACATAATTCTCCACTCTCCCTTTCAATTGTCATTAAAGAAAACTTTATCTTGAAAAGAATTGGCTGTTGGTGGGGGTAATGTCGATCACTTCTTTCCATTTCCTCATGTTCCCTTCCCTTGTTTTATCTATTTAATTATCTCCTCTTGACATTTTTCGTTTCCATAGTCAATCTTCTTGATTACAAGAAAACACCCATATAGCAATTATATGCATACCAAGGTAATTATATATTAAATAACACAAGTTATACCATCTTTGATCGGGTTTAAGAGTCGGGTAGATTGATATCTATATCTAACTCGAAATCAAATCTAGTCGAGTATTGGCCTCCCATGAACCAGTGAGAGTTTCATGGAGAATGGCCTTGGTGGTATTGGCCTTGTTTGTGTGATGGGATTACCACATAACATGGAAAGATTCTTTCCTACTCAATCATAACAAATAACTAACCCACTAAAGGTGTAATTAGAGCCAATTAATTAATTAATTAATTAATCCATGAACTGTGATGTTGATCTGAAGCCTTCAGAATAATAATTGAGCCCCGCAATGTGATCATCAGTTGGTTTTGATTTGTTTGAATGAATTATTTGGAGAGAGAGCAGCATGATTTAGTAGACACCATGTGGGTTTTTATTGGCAAAGTATTGTTCACATGCACATCAATATCATGATTCCTGCATTCTTGTCAATACTTAAAAGTTACCCTACTACACCACCGAATCCAAGGATAAATCATAGTGGTAAAACTCGATCCGAGATGGTTTTTAATTAACTGGATCCCGGGTAATCGACGGAATCGCAGCAGATTTGATAAAAATGGTTTAAAATGGTGGAAAAAAGTACCTGTAAAGCTAAAAGATATCCACACCTGAAAAAAATATGATAGACTTGCCACCCCAAGTTTTTGGCTATTACTACAACAGAAGTAGAACAATGTGCTTGCATATAACAAGAGTAAGAATCAAAAAACACATTCTCTAGCCATGTTTAATGTCGGAGAAGCTTCCAATGGGTCCAAAAGCTTCCCTCTCATTACTTGCTGATTAACAGCTATTGCGGAACCCAAGATCTCACGAGCTCCCTCTATGATGATTATACTAATCACCATTTCTTTGCTACTTATATAACTACTCTTACGCAAATTAATCTCCTCTCCATTTCTTCCCACGAAAGCTCTCTGCCTCTCTCTGAGGCACTCCCAACCTTCACTAACTGCTGTCACTGAAATGGTGGAGAACTGATAGGCTGCCTACAAAGCCAATGGACAAGAACAATTTGCGGTTGCAAGTCCTGGTTTTGTTGTTATACTGTTGCGTTGGGATTGGTTCTGCTGTGGTGGTTGAGAAAAATGCGCTCGGTGTTGAAGTGTCAGCTTTGCTATCTCTAAAAGCTGGTCTTCTAGATCCATCGAATAGTCTTCGAGATTGGAAACTGTCCAGTTCAGCTCACTGTAACTGGGCTGGAGTTTGGTGCAACTCTAATGGAGCTGTTGAAAAGCTTGATCTTTCCCACATGAATCTCACTGGACATGTATCCGATGACATCCAAAGACTAGAGAGTTTGACTTCTCTAAACTTGTGCTGCAATGGGTTCTCTTCATCGTTGACAAAAGCTATATCCAATCTCACTTCACTGAAAGACATTGATGTGAGTCAGAACCTCTTTATTGGTAGCTTTCCTGGTGGTCTTGGAAGAGCAGCTGGTCTGACTTCGCTAAATGCTTCAAGCAATAATTTCTCTGGAATTATTCCTGAGGATCTTGGCAATGCGACTTCACTAGAGACTCTTGATCTCAGAGGGAATTTCTTTGAAGGATCCATTCCAAAATCTTTCGGGAACTTGCGAAAGCTGAAGTTTCTTGGCCTTTCTGGGAATAGTCTCTCTGGTCAATTACCAGCAGAGCTGGGGCTGCTTTCATCACTGGAGAAAATAATTATAGGATACAATGAGTTTGAAGGTGGAATCCCAGCAGAGTTTGGAGATCTCACTAATCTGAAGTATCTTGATTTGGCAGTTGGAAATCTTAGTGGTGAGATTCCAGCTGAATTGGGGAGACTTAAGGCACTTGAGACTCTATTCCTGTATCAGAATAATCTTGAAGGCAAACTTCCAGCGGCGATTGGAAACATCACTTCACTGCAACTATTAGACCTGTCTGACAATAATTTATCAGGAGAAATCCCTGCTGAGATTATTAATTTGAAAAACCTGCAGCTCTTGAATCTGATGTCCAACCAGCTTTCAGGCTCAATTCCTGCTGGAGTTGGAGGGTTGACTCAGTTATCAGTGCTTGAGCTGTGGAGCAATTCATTGTCAGGTCCACTGCCAAGAGATCTCGGCAAGAATTCACCATTGCAATGGTTGGACGTATCATCCAATTCATTATCTGGGGAGATTCCAGCAAGCTTGTGTAATGGTGGTAATCTCACCAAGCTCATTCTCTTCAACAATTCCTTCTCAGGTCCGATTCCTGATTCTTTATCAACATGCTTCTCTCTTGTTCGTGTACGTATGCAAAACAATTTTCTTTCTGGGGCAATTCCAGTTGGACTTGGCAAATTAGGGCAGCTTCAGAGGTTAGAGTTGGCAAATAATAGCCTCACTGGTCAAATCCCAATTGATCTAGCCTTTTCTTCATCACTTTCCTTCATTGATATCTCGAGAAACCGACTCCGATCCTCTCTTCCTTCCACAGTTCTTTCCATTCAAAATCTAGAAACCTTCATGGCCTCAAACAATAACTTAGAAGGTGAGATCCCTGACCAGTTCCAGGACCGTCCTTCACTTTCTGCGCTTGATCTCTCATCAAACCAATTCTCTGGTTCCATTCCAGCTAGCATTGCTTCATGTCAAAAACTTGTAAATTTGAATCTTAAGAACAACCGATTGACTGGAGAAATCCCAAAAGCAGTTGCAATGATGCCTGCACTGGCCATTCTTGATCTATCAAACAACTCTTTAACTGGTGGATTACCTGAGAATTTTGGCTCCTCCCCTGCCTTAGAAATGCTGAATGTCTCGTACAACAAGCTACAAGGTCCTGTTCCTGCAAATGGCTTGCTAAGAGCCATCAATCCAGATGATCTTGTCGGGAATGTGGGTCTCTGTGGCGGTGTCCTGCCTCCATGTAGCCACAGTTTGCTAAATGCAACGGAGCAAAGAAACGTGCATACAAAGCGCATGGTTGCCGGGTGGCTCATTGGGATTTCATCAGTTTTAGCAGTTGGGATTGCATTAGTCGGTGCTCGACTTCTCTATAAAAGGTGGTATTCAAATGGAAGCTGCTTCGAAAAAAGTTACGAAATGGGCGGTGGAGAGTGGCCATGGAGATTGATGGCTTACCAAAGGCTTGGTTTCACTAGTTCTGATATTCTAGCTTGCTTAAAGGAATCAAACGTGATTGGAATGGGAGCAACTGGGACTGTTTACAAAGCTGAGGTGCCTAGGTCGAACACGGTTGTTGCAGTAAAGAAGCTATGGAGATCAGGAGCAGACATCGAAACAGGAAGCAGTAGTGATTTTGTCGGGGAGGTGAACCTCTTGGGGAAGCTAAGGCATCGAAATATTGTTCGGTTATTAGGTTTTCTTCATAATGATTCCGACATGATGATACTATATGAATATATGCACAATGGCAGCCTCGGAGAAGTCTTGCATGGCAAACAAGCAGGAAGGTTGCTTGTAGATTGGGTATCGCGATATAATATCGCACTTGGAGTTGCACAAGGACTTGCTTATCTTCACCATGACTGCCGCCCACCGGTTATTCATCGGGACATCAAGTCCAATAACATACTGCTTGATACAGATCTTGAAGCAAGGATCGCTGATTTCGGGTTGGCAAGAATGATGATTAGGAAGAACGAGACAGTTTCCATGGTGGCAGGATCATACGGATACATTGCCCCTGGTAAGTGAGAAATGCTCTCTTATATTCTCCCACGAACATTTAAACAATCCCATTTCGCTTCAAGATGTTTTCTCTGTAAATAACAACGTTCTGACACCATCCTTTTGCAGAATATGGATACACCTTGAAAGTTGATGAGAGGATTGACATTTACAGCTATGGAGTAGTTTTATTAGAACTTCTTACAGGAAAGCGGCCCTTAGATCCTGAGTTTGGGGAATCTGTCGACATTGTTGAATGGATTCGGAGAAAGATTAGAGACAACAGATCATTAGAAGAAGCATTAGACCAGAATGTAGGAAATTGCAAGCATGTTCAAGAAGAGATGCTATTGGTTCTTAGAATAGCACTTCTTTGTACTGCCAAGCTCCCCAAGGACAGACCATCAATGAGAGATGTGATAACAATGCTTGGAGAGGCAAAACCGAGGAGAAAAAGCAGTAGCAACGGCAGTGGATATGATAGTAACAAAGATAAGCCAGTCTTTAACACATCACCTGTAAATGGCCTTGTATAGGAACATTAATTGAGTTCCCTTGCTGTTTATTTTGTTTCATGATTCTTCTTTTGTATCTAGTCTTTGTTAATGTCTGTACTCAAAAGGTTCAAATTATTTGCCCAGAAGTTTAATGGGTATATGAAGTTTGACTCACAAAACCAGAACACAATCATTTTTGTGCTATAAGCCAAGGTTTCAATTAATCAAGCAACGAGTATTAAGAACAATCAAGTTCTAGTACAAAATGCTCACAACCCATCATCTCTTGATGAATTACTACACTGGTGCACCATTCCCTAGTAAATGACAACAGGAGAGCAGATCCAAAAGCTTAAAATTCCGAGGGAGAATTTTTTCTCATCAATCTCAAAAAACTACAAGAGCTTGTTTTTTGGCATTACCTTCGGATCCAGCCTGCAAACAAAGCACACCCAGATGCAAAAATGAAAGACAAACCTCATCTCTCTAAAGTCCATAAATCTTTTTGAACTAATTGTCCACAAGCATTTCCCATTAGAGCAACTTCAAAAATAACCTGCTAAGTATAAGAACTATTTTGGAAGTGATATCCATAACAAAGATCAGATATTACAGCAAAGCTAGACCAACTCCATTTATAATCCGCAGAGTTTAATTCCACATAATCATGAACACTAAATTATAAATCTAAGTAATTGGCTAAGCATTCCAAATTCTATGAGCTTAACACATGATACTCAAGACGTTCAATAGCAAAAGGTTCTTCACCTCCTTAACGATGAGAAAAAGATTAAGCATTCAGGAATTTACAGGTCAGTAAGTGCCATTCAGTGACTATGCATGTATATATTACAGCAAAAGGTAAGGTGCTTGTTGCTTCCAAAACAGTAAGGTGGGTATTTTCAGAGGTATAACAAGAATGAACAAATAGTATAATAAGACCATACAGCAACCAAAATCCAACACAAAGCCGCTGAGGACCATTAATTACTTTTTTATCAAAATGTTTTCACTATAAACACTCTTTGTTTTTTCCTTTGTATATCACTCTTCAATCCAGCGTTTTTCTTCATTACTTATATTTAGGGATAGATGTCCAGATAGGCTTGGTTCTTTGTCTTCCACTCCTTTCTTGCGAGCTTGGAGCTGTAAATGAAGAAATGATCGAACCTAATTAGTACCTGTGAATATTTTTGTATTGTCTAAAAAAAAGTGTTAAGAAAAATGAAAATTCTAGAGGTAAATCATAACGTTGATTTTACTTTCATTTGCCAAGTCCAGTTGCCTCAGACATCCTCATGATTCTGAGTCTCTTCACAGAGCTAATAAACATCCTGAATGAATGCAAAACACAAGTTAAAAGCAAGAAGATTATTCACATCACCAACAGGCCATATAAAATGAATTGTTAGAAGCTACAAAAGTGCACGACAATGAATTGTTAATGAGCCATGAAGAGGGGGAAAAGGAAAACAGAACACCAACAAATGTAATTTTCAAATTTAAATAGTTGAAAACTTTTCCATCATAATCTGCAAATAAGATGTCAGAGCCATCTGGTCACCCTTAAAATATCGGAAAGCCTCTCTTGCTTAGGCTTCCAGTTTTAGTAAATGGATACATTTATATGCCATGCAAGTATCAATCAATGTCTGATCCAATAACAGAATAATTTGTTGCTTAGGCTTCCAGTTTCAGTAAATGGATACATTTATATGTCATGTAAGTATCAATCAATGTCGGATCCAATAACAGAATAATTTGTTTTCCTTGTAATTCCTTAATTGTAGCAATCAAGTACAAAATGATCATATTGAGTGAATGGTACATACCCCCAAGGAACATCTCCGACAAGCATCCAATCCCCATCCTTGTCCTCATAAGTGAGCACAAACTCAGATGACCCGCCCAGCAATTGTGAGTGTCTTTTTGCATCTATCATTATTTTATGTTCAGGTGTGCTCAATCCTAAGAACACATATAATCACCAGCAATTAGATTATTATATGGTTTATCTACCTTAATGATTTTACTCAAGTAAAAGAATGCAATTCTATGATTAGACATACAGTTGAATCAGCTATTTTAGAACTTTTATATGCTGCGTTGAAAAATATTCAATTTCCCTACCCAAGAAACTTGATATTGCTGAAGATCCTTCAAAAATCAAGTTTGTAATCAAAAAGAATTTTATTGCGTGTATGCATGCATAAGCTTATAAGTGATGCATAGACATTCTTCCACATAGAACAAGCAAAACAAATGAGGCACTCACATTTGTTTATTATCAGTCATCAAAATCTATATTGTAAGACCCAAACTTTTGGTCCAAACTTTAGGTCCAAACCTAAGCCCAAATTCTATATTGTAAGACCCAAACTTTAGGTCCAAACCTAAGCCCAAGTCAGTTCAAACCCAATCTACGTTAACCTACGTATTTAAGTAAGAATTGCAAAAGAATTTCTTTCCTCTTTTCTAATTTTTATAGCCACCATGACCCTCCCCTCCTCAAACCAAAGATTTAGTTTTTGATCTTGAATTTTTGGTTCAACAAAGGTGGAAATAACAAGTAAATGGTTCTCTTTCATACTACTTTCGATTATAGTTTGTTTATGGAATGATTAAAAAAGATATTATGGTTTATGAGGATTGAAAGTTTATATTATTAAGATTGTGAATTTTTGGTTCAACAAAGGTGGAAATAACAAGTAAATGGTTCTCTTTCATACTACTTTCGATTATAGTTTGTTTATGGAATGATTAAAAAAGATATTATGGTTTATGAGGATTGAAAATTTATATTATTAAGATTGATTTATGATTATTAAGGGTTTAATGTTAGGTGATTAATTAGAATTATGTTGAAAATAAAGATTTATGAGTTGATTTGCTTAAATTAATTTTTATGGGTTAAGAAATTTATTTTTTTACCTTGCTTTAAAATCTGGATAGAATGATCTTGAGGTTGAAGATGTTTGGTCCTTGATTTATGAAAATTTCGGTTTAGTCCCTAAACTTTGAAAAAATTACAATTTGACCCCTAACTGTATTTTGAGTTTCTGGACAGTGTTATTATAAGGTTAAGGATGATGAATCCCAGTTTGATAATTGATTTGGAATATTTTCAGCTTGCTCCCTTAATTTTAGGAATTTACATTTTAGTCCGTAAAGTTTATAAAATTACAGTTTGGTTCATTCTAGAAAAAATTGAGGATGATTCATGGGTGGAATTTCAGTGTGATTATGTATTTACAGTTTGGTCCTCCAGTTTTGATAAAATTACATTTTGATCCCTATTCGTTTTATTCCCTAAACTTAGAAGACTGAGCATAGTTTTCTTTCATGCATTGGAATCTTTAAATTGTGTTGTTTTGGTTTGTTTTTAGTATATTTCACATATTTGTTATAGATTCTCGTAACAATCCTCAATAGGATTTCCGGGTCTTTCGCTAACATTCTTTCTAGTTCTATATTTCTTTCAAATGAGTGGGATAATCTTTGATATGCATATAATATAAATAAATATGCATGTTGATTATATGATGAATACGATTATTCAATCTCTTGAATATTTATATATATTGCTTAATACGATTAGTCAATCTCTTGAATATTTATATATATATTGCTTTCTTTTCCGAGTACTCATCTATTCTTAGATTTGTACTTCTTTTCTGAGTACTCATCTATTCTTAGATTTGTACTAACATTCTATCGAGCTAAATTATATTTAAACTATCTTTTTTTTTTAATCAGTTTTGAATAATATAATATTTCTTAAGATTATAAAATGCTACGTATTTTGAATAAATTGTTCTTTTGATACATCTGTTCTGAGGCTTAGCGTAGGTGAAGTGTCCTTTCAACACCACTCCTGCATTGCCGGTCACAGACCCGAGATTCAGGTCGTGACATATATTAGGCATCTAAAATGAGAAAAAACATATCTAACCAGCAAAGCCAGGTTTGCAATTAGCGAAGCATTCATATAAAAGTGACATTTGGTAATATTTCAAATCAGGTTGAGCATCCCAAATTTCAAGAAGACCAATGCCACTAGTTAGTTCCAACTGACAGGTTAAAAATCCAGAATTAAGTCCCATTAAAAGGGTTAAGTCATCATTTATAAGATTCAGATGAAAGGATGAGAAAAACTCACGTGACATGTTCAAAGTTGTGGTAGTTCTTAGGAACATATTTTCCAAGGCTTGAGCTAGTGTCTCATAGCAGCCATGAGCATTCAGATCAACCTTTCTACCAATCAGGGTTCCATCCATATTCACCTTGACATATAGGGAAGTCCTAGTCTTGGTATTACCAATATTAATGTTTTTGTTGCCCACCTTCTCTTCCACAGCATTCTTGCGTTTATTCATTGAGTTGAACTCTTCCGTAGCCTGTGACTTTGCCTGGTTAACCATGATGTGCATTCTATGAGATCTTATTGGAGGCCACCCAACAACTTGACCGCTTCAAGATTCAAAATGAAATAATACAGAAACAAAGCCATCAGTAGCTGAAAGTAAATTTAGAATATCTATATCTACATCTATATATCTATAAATTATAAGGATTGAGGCACGAGAACAAGCAATCTAGAATTAATGTAGTCACTGCCTCTGTTAGACATTTCACATAATATTTAATTCACATGTGGTATACTATTCAAATGAATCTCAATAAGATTGTGCATACCAATAAGAATATAAATCATATTTATAACTTAAATTTGACCAACTTTCTATCCGATATTTGGACTAGAAATCATCTTAATTATATAGACACTAGAACAACAAGTCTTATATATTATATTTGTTATAGTTTATGTTTCGATTAATGCATTTGTTTTAATTAATGTGGTCTCATGTATTTCTTCTTTCTATAACTTTTCTTATTACCTGAGCTGAAGATAAAAGTTGCAAGCTATCTATCATCTCTAAATCATTGAGGCACTTTTAATTATTTAATCCAAAAACTTGTGGAAAAAAAATTATATGTATTTTCAATCTCCTTCATCAAGCTTAATTTCTCAACTTCTCATAAAAAAACTTTCAGTTATGACTTAGTAGTATTTAATTGATTGTTTGTATAGTTTGGAAGAGAACATAATAGTGCTTTACAAAGAACTATTTATTGTTTTATCAAGATTAGTACTTGGATAAGAGTTCCACACATAGGATTGTGGCTAAATTTTGAGTTAGGAATATAGATGCAAAACGTTAATAATAAAGATAACAAGAACAGCTCAAAGATCAGATTCAGTGAGCCACTTACGATGCATGTGGGGATTTTTTTAGTTTAGATCAGCAAATATGATCTTTTCTATATAAAAAATATCAGTGTATGTAAATTAGATTTGTTGCTACTACAAAAAATGTAAATAAAATATTATTGCTAGATGCATATAATTGACATCTAAGGATTAAATTTTAATCATTAGTATAACAGCATCAAAAATTAAAACACTAAAAACTTAAATACATTGCATAAACTGAAGTTATCTAACCTGCCCAGCAGGCAGGAACAAGCATAGTTAATAATAAAGGCAATGCTACCTTACCAAAACAGAAAGGAAAATATTTGCATTACCAGGTGCCATAAAAAAAATGGGATCAAAATGCTTCTTATATGAAAAATATTAAACATGTCTCAGGGCCTGGCTCAATGATAAGGGGTGAGTGACTTGTGATCAGTCTCGGTATAAATCTTTCCTAAGGGAAACAAAACAACAAAATTACACGGCTCAACTCCATGGTCACTCTACAAAATTCCAACACATAACTTGGCAGTGTTTAACCAATGATAGCAAAAACAGTTTTTGATACTTCTTTAGCTATAAGGTACAATAAGAAGGCAGCGGTGGACATCACATCAACCACAAGTTTCGAACTTGAGCTTGATCTATTACAGGAAACAAGATGCCCGTGAATATTTATGCATATACATGAACATATTATGCAATTTCTATTCAAAAGCAAAAAAAAAAATGATAGTCACTTGCTAAGGCAGAGAATTTGTTGACTGCACCATTGCCAAACCTTCATCCTTAAAGGTATGAGAATATTCACAGATGATTTAAAGATTATACATCAAAGAGAGAAGAGATCTGGAGGTATGGAACCAGCCTTCATTTCTTAAAACCATGTATTAGTACGTTAAACTAAGAATCAACTTGATGTCACAATCTATAATTCTTTTTACATTTTAAACTAGGAATCATTTTTCAGGGGGGGAGTTTCACAATTGAGATTATGTATTAATCTATTTGATTCATTAATTTCACAAATTACATAACCCAAAAACTGAAACGTAAATTCCACTTTGTCTCTCATTCAAGCCAAAGTGGGAGCTAAGAAAAAACAATTGAAAGAAAACATAGAAAAAGATCCTAATCAAGGCAAAACAAGAACACTAACAGTAATATTCTAGGCACAAGAATCATGGGATCAACAGCACATGCATAAACACCTCAAATTTTCATGGCAAGTACAGCAAGAGGGAAAAGGAAACAAGAACGTAACAAAGCAAAATTCAACATCAAAATCAGTCAAGTCAACAATACCAAGACCAGAGAAAATAAAAAAGGTAAATACTTGACAAGAAAATATCTAAATATATATATATAAAAAAAAAATTATTAGGGAGTTGATTGCTACCTGGCAATATAAAGATTATTAGGGAGTTGATTGCTACCTGGCAGCACCATTAGAAGCAGAAACAGAATCAGCAGCCCTCTTAGTCCCAGCGGTAGCATTAGCTCTACTCAAGGTAGAAGAAGAAGACGAAGTCGTTGAAGAACAAGAAGAAGAAGAAGAAACCTTGGAAGGCAAATCCTTAGCGGTCAAAATCCTTGCATATTGTTGACTGCTACGCTGACCAAAATCCTTAAAACCAGAAGCACCACCAAGACTCAAACCAAGACCCAGTTCAAGTTCACCCTCATCCGGGCTTGACGAGTCCTCAGATGACATCAATACGTTATCCTCCATTGACACCGTCGACATACACACCGACCCACCACTTCCTCCACCAAGAAAATCACCTTGCATCAAAGAAAAGAAAGGGAAAGAAGAGGTTCACGAAAGGGTTAATTTAGAAGCAAAGAAATCGTAAATATATGAGAGGAGAAACAACAAAATTGATGGCTTGATATTGATATTTGGTTTGGCTTGGTTTGGCTTGGCTTGGAAAGAGTAGCAAAGGGGAAAGGTAACATTTTTTAGTTTAGTTTGGTGGGGTGGACGAGGAAGGAGAGCTTGATGATGATTGTGGGTCCTCCCTGTCTGCTTTTAGGCCTCCCTCTACCTTCTTGCCCCTTGAAAACTCCTCCACTTTCCCGTTATTCTAAAACCCGAGCGGGGTCGACAGGAAAAGGCTCAAGTCACGGTAGAAAGGGTCGACCCAAGATTTTTTTCAAAAAAAAATCAAAATGCTTTCATTTTAATTAGTTTTAAAAAAATAAACCCAGCTTTGAACTTGAATTTTTTTTTTATTTATGTGGGGTGTTCGGGTCAGCTTGCGTCCATTATGACTAATCTTCACGGCTCACTGAATACCCTGCAAACCCAGTAGACATGCAAGGCACTACGGGAGTGACAAATATGCATGCCAGGACTCAAACCCATGTATAATGAAAAGAGATAAGCCCCTTCCACCACTAGATCAAGCCCCTAGGTGCATTTGAACCCATGACAGGCGTGAACTTGAATTTTTGATCGGGAGAAGCTGTGATCGGGGAGAAGCTGGTTTTTTTCTTCTTCTATGTTTCTTAATTAGTTTAAATCTAGGGTTGATTAAATTCTATATTGATTAACTTGCAAATTCATGGATCAACCTGTTTTTTTAATACAAAAACATAAAATGATTATAAGTATTTAAAAAAAAAATCATTTGAGGACCAATTGAATCGAAAATTAACTTATCAAATTTAACCAAATTAATACTCAAATTGAAAGAAAAATAGAAAAACTGATGTAGATCATTGAATCAACGTGGTCGGTCGGTCACACATAAAGATAAAAGCTATAAATGACGAAATATTTGAAAACCCAGGAGTTAAAAGGGAATCGTCTAGAAAAACAGACTTGGTCATTTCTGTCGACTGTCCTGATAAAAACAAAACACAGCAAGTGCAATAAATGATGTTCTTAGGAAAGTTTCCAGAGCCTTAGAGGCAAGGCAACCCCATTCCCATTGTTCTTGATGATTGTTTGTTCGGCCCTCATCACCCACCTAGCACCACCAGGGAATGTTCCATATTCTCGTATCTTTTTATTTTTTCATGATATATTTTTTTAATTTTTATCATTAATATATTTAAATTATAAAAAAATAGTAAAAAATTAATTTAATATTTTTTAATATCAGAATTAGAATTAAAAAACATCTAAAGGCAGTAAACACCACCACCTGGTTTTCATGTTGCAATTCCTTTATTCCTTCTTTGTTTTTTAGGTCTTTTAGGCTTATTGCCATCTATCTGTTATTCTCAAAATAATAATAATAATAATAATTCCTTATGAGATACGAACCATAGTTTTAAAATATGATACGCAACGAGCTTTGAGTTATAAATCAGAAGAAAAAAAATTGAGTAAATTTTGATTAATTCAAAAAAAGCAAAACAAGATTATTTTATAAAAAGATATTATCGATTTAATAACTTATATTTAAAAAAAAAATACCCATTTAACTTCGATTTTTGTTTTTTATTTTCTTGAATAATATTTTTATATTAAAAAATAATTTAACCCACAGATTAGTGTATAATGTAGTTATGAGTTATATATATATAAAAAAAAAAATTCCTTGCGGCCCATGAAGCCCAAAAGTGTTGTTATCACTCATATCACGATAAATTGTGGAACGCGTCTACTGACAGGAGCTTTAATATCGTGGGTTGAGAAGCGGGACCCATTGGTGATGCCCCTCCAAACGACAAGCCGACAAGGGTGGGACCAAACATCCCACCGCTCAACAACAAGTAAGAGATAGGACCACGCGGGGCCCACCTCATCATGATCAAATCAGATTTAATCAGATCGAACGATCATTCTGTGACCACCTAAGACCGTCCCTATGGCGACCCATCAACAAAGCTTTCACCACAAAAGACCGCCACTTGTCATCTCGTCTCGGACCTGGTCCAGGACAGTCTTTAAAGTATTTTTCTAATATAAAAATATATTAAAATAATATTTTTTATTTTAAAAATTTATTTTCTACACTAATATATTAAATAAATATAAAAACATTAAAAACCAATTCAAGGTAAAAAAATAAATTTTTTTTCAAAAAAAAACAAAAATAAACAGGCTTTTATAGCTTAATGTGTATTAGTTAATATTAAGTGCTTTTTTAAAATATTTTTTAAATAAAAATATATTAAAATAATTTTTTTATTTTTAAAATTAGCATATTAAGATTGTCAAAGGAAATTAACATATATTAATTTGATATTTTTTCAAGTGAAACATACTTTTAAAATACACCTCAAAGTAAAGATATTGCATTACCAATTACTTACTAAATTATGTATTATTAAATTAACCTGAATCTTTTTATTTTATTAAAACAACATTAGTTTGGGTTTTTTTCCTTTCCAAACCATTGATATTAACTCGATCGAGTCAGTCATGCAGTGAGCCTATCACAACATAAATTTTAAATTTGTGAGCAATAATACTTTAAAGACATCTCATTTATGTTAAGTCTTAAAGCATACATACCATAAAACAAATATATATAAAATTAATGCATTATTTCATAACTTTTTAAATATTTCTCAAAACTAATAAGACAAGCAAAAATAAAACAAAAAATAAGAGTTAAAAATCTATTAACGGAAGTTAAGAACTTAAAATAATATTTAAATAGAGAGTTGTGTTCAATTAATTTATAAAAAAACAATATTTAATATATATTTTAGCAATTTATAAATATATAAAATTATATATATATATATATATATATGTATGTGTGTGTAAATATATATGTGTGTGTGTGTGGAGAGAGGTAATAAAATAGATGTCAAAAATCAAAATGTGTGTGTGTGGAGAAAGGTAATAAAATAGATGTCAAAAATCAAATAAAATTATCAAATTAGACAATAGACGAAATACTTAGTTATTTGCTTACATTAAAATTTATTTAATCATCGAATCATAATAAAAATCCTAAACTTTTCTATTATCATCCAAACATCAATTTCCTAATAAAAAACAATAAAAAAGAGAATAACTTACTTCCTCAACTTTTCTTAAACTCCAGAAGCTCAAGTTTAGAATTAAATTCCATGATATTGTGAGGAAAGACATGGTAGAGAGGAAAGAGAAGAGGAGAAGTGTAAAATCAATTATTTGGCAAGATTCTCTTTCAATATCAAGGCTAGATTAGGTTCTTGGATTTGAATTTTACATGGTTAATTTATAAAGTTATCTAAATATGATAGAATGAATATTAAAAGTATTTTTTTTTAAAATATTCTGATTAAATCAAATCTTTGAATTATTTTATTCAGCTAGGCCAGGTTGAGTTTTAAAAAAATAATTAAAAAATTAAATTCCATTTTTTTAATTCAGATTTTAAAACCAATATAAAAACATATACCACGCAGAAGTATAAAAAAAAGTTTAATTCTCACGTGAAATATTCCAAGAACACCTCGAATCAACAAGACCAATGCTTCTGAAAAGAAAAGGTAAATAGGAATGAACGGGCTTTGAGGTCCGTGGTTAATAAAAGGCTCTGGAGTCCGACAAAGAGAAATGTTGGCTTGCTTTGCTTTTGGTAATGAGCACCAACACCTTTCCCGTGTGCCACGAGGACCCTTTCTTTACAATATTTTCCACTTAAAGACATCGAACCCTTTAGTTCATGTCGTCCACCTGGCAGACACAAGTCTCGTATTTCCTTTTCCTAATGCGATTTAATTATATGCCTAACTTTGTTTAAACTTGCCTGATCTATCTGGACTGGCTAATTTAACAATTATAAATCTAGATTTAATTCAAGTTAAATTTTTAAAAAATAATTTTATCAAATCTAGCTGACTAATCAAATCAATTCGTGATCCAATTCAAATTTGATTTGATTTCTTTATTTTTATTTTTTTAATATAATATTTTTTTAATGTAAAATAATATTATTTTGTATTAATCCGAAGTAATCCATATAATTTATGATCTAGATCTTTGGGGGGTTATTAGTCAAGTTGGGTTTAATATCTTTCTGTATATATACATGTGTCCGAGTGGTTGGAGGCTCATTAATTCTATTAAGTCACATGTATTTTTTAAGATTATTAATATTAAGTCATGTTTAAACATATGTTACGTAAATTTTAAATTTAATATTAATAAATTTAGTTATTGTAATCATGCATGTTTGCTAAGTCACTATTTATTTTTTGCCCATTCGTTTCTCTTTATATATATATAATCCAACAATCCATTTGTGTTTTTAAGCTCTTTCTTTTTTCATATTTTCTCAATATTTAACATTGCCCTAAATAGAGGTCTGCTAAAGTTCAATGTTTTTTGTTTAAAAATATATTTTATATATAATCCAACGATTCATTTGTGTTGTGATTATGTTATAAATAATGATGTTTTAGTATTTGATGTTATTTCACTTCATGATGACAAGTTTAATAAATTAAGAATTTAGTACAGTTGAAGAAATTATTAGACAAAAGAATAAGGTAAATAGTTCCTAAATAAGAAAAAATATAGAAATCAAATGGTTCATGTTTTCTTCTCTAGGGTTGGCCGACAATGATGAAGGGAGAGTTAAATTAGTTATGGTTTAAGTTAGTATGAGGATTTTAGCTATACCATGGTGTAATTAGAATACAAGTTAACAAGGAAAAATAAAAAAAAATAAAAGTATGATAAAATGTTTATGCTGGTTAATCATTTAAATTATTAATAAAAAATTTAAATGATGAAGTTATATATAATTAATTTCATTAAAAATCAAAATGAAACATTGAGAGTTAAATATAATAATGATTATTTTTATTATTGAGCTTGTTAAAAGTATTGTTGATTAACAGGAAAATTGATTTGCAGAGAATACCTTAGAAACTGTCATTAACCCAAGCTGAAGAAGGAGCTTCTAACACAAAATATAAGTGCCCTCTTGAAATTATTTTTATTATTATTTTTCTTTACTTGAAATTATTTTTATATATATTTTCATGTCATTTTAATTTACTAATATTAAAATTTTTTTTAAAAAAAAATTTTTTTTTAGTATATTTTCAAATAAAAAATATTTTAAAAAATAATTATTATTACACTCTCAAACACACTTTACCCACTTTAAAAGTGTACCAATATAAACATGCTTTTTAAAAATATTTTGTTTATTAAAATACAAAAATACCGCCAACTACAAACTAAAATAAATTAAATTAAAAAAGAACTTAATCCCATAACTACAATTTACTAACGTTATGCCCTAAAAAATTACATTAGGACAGTCAGCGTAAATTCTTATGAGCACATGAGATCTAGCTTCATTCATATGATGCGATCTAAGAAAGAACAGGGACTTGTATGAAACAGAAATCTGAAAATCATCACCACATTCAGCATACCCCATAAATAGGATGCACCTTCTCATTTCTTCTCCGGATCTTGGGATTCCTGCTGCGGGCATTCGGTGCATGTCTTACAAGCTGGAGATGAGAAGCTGTCTGAGAGACTAATCCGCATGGTTTGCTGCCTTTCTTCATTAGAAGGGATATGAAGGAGAGCTTCCATTATCAGGATTTCCCAGTTCCGGGGAAGGAAAAATGAAAACCAACTGTCATCTGATAGAGAAAAATGTTATTTGCCTGTTAGCTTAGAAATAGGCTACAAATACAAAATAAATAGGCAGCCCCAGATGTGTGTGTGGAGACTCCAACAGGAAAGGGGCATGACTTTTTTCTTATTTCAATTAAATATAACAGCTGACAGCCTGCAGTCTTGGCAGCTAGCCCCCGGTATGAGCATGGGAGGAGGTGATGAACAGTCCATCCCAAGGTATGCACTCACACACAGTAGAAGCAGAAGAGCCCCTCGACAGAATTTACATTTGGGACCAGTGCAGAAAGTTCTAAAGGATTAGCAGCAAAAAGCTAGCAATGATATACATATCTGAGCAAGGGTTCTTATGCAGGTCAAGTCTTTGAGCATGGTAGGATAGGCTTTGGCAGGTATGAAAAGCTCAAAGTACAAATCAAACACGAAGACTGTAAAAGGAAAAATAGTAGATCACTAATGCACAAACCTCCATTACGAACTGCCTTCAATTGGAATACTCCATTGCCACGTGGTCCAGACACAGGAAATGTGCAAGACACAGACTGCCTCTTGTGAGCTACAGCAAGAGATGCATTGTACCATGGACCTTTGACAATCGGCTCCCCAATAGCATCTTTGATTTCTTGACTATTGCTGGCTTTCTCCATGGCCTTGCTGAAAATTTAATAGTGAACTAAAAATATGTTACCAAGATGAGAAATCACACAAGGCAACAATTGACCAAGCAGCAATCAAATATTGCCGGAAAAGTATGAATTTCCGAAGTTGATTGGACAATTCCCTGACAACCTCCCCAAGCATCCTCCTTCCAACCCAACCATCGAACCCTCACCATCCACATAAAAACCCTCCTCTAACTGCCCTTTTCCTTCATTCACACTAAATATGATTAGTTAAATTCTCTATCAATTACATTGTTGGCTGTTTCTTGATTTTAAATAATCAATACGGTCCAGTACTGACTCATCATTAACATGTTTGTGATACAAGAGATGTTGATACAGGTAACAGTACTCTTGTGCTAGTTGAGGGGGCAGTAAAGCCAGCAGTGGTGTGTTTGTGGTGGCATTGGTGATCTCAGCATGGCTATGGTGTTGACTTATACATTAAAGCAACTTTGGGTTTCAATCATGATAACAAGGTTTCTTTCTTAAGCTCTAGGAATGCATAAAATCAGAAATAAATGTTGCAGGTTATCTGCTTGACAATTGAAGCAAAAGAAACGCTTGATGCACCAGTGCTCAAAATTCAATCCATCCATGGAACTAAGAAGAGACGAATCAATATGACTGCTTTCACAGGCAACTTCGAAATGGATAATGCCTAAAGAAGGTGCAATCTTTACATATCTATTCAATCTTTAACAATTGAAGCAAAATAGCTTGAAAATCACATGATTCACCGGTCCCTAACATTGCAACCTTTACTTATCTATTCATTCTGTCCAAGAAAATAAGAAGAGACAAACCGATTTGCTTGCATTCACAGACGATCCCTAAATGGATATCATGCCTAACGAAGGTGCAACCAATAAAGAAACATTAAATCTACAAAATCCTGATAATCATGTTCAAGTAAAAACTGCCAATATAGGGGGTCAAAACATATTACTTCTCCATTTGAACCAATTTTAAGGACCATTCTAATTTCTTAGTTCAAACAAACATTATCATCTAACAAAAGCAACCCCATCAAGGCATCAATTCCCCAAATCCCACAACAAAAAAAGAAAAAAGAAATCAACTTTTTGTGATCAACGCAGTAAAAAATGTAAATTACCTGCTACAGCCATGATAAATAGCAAGATCATCAAGAGCACTCAAGGCCACACCACCTGTAACCGTAACCAACACAAAAGTAACTGCCTTTCGACCATAAGACTTGCTCTTTCCTTCATCCAAGTACTTCCCTCCACTAATTGTGCAAAATTAAATCGAATTAAATTAAAATTTAAAAGGTGGATTCTTGGTTTGGTAGAAGAGAAGCGTCGGTTACCTTGAAGTTTGGGAACTTGGGGAGTTCTTGAACAAGGAAATAAATCTTCTTGCCAACATCTGTCTGTCTGTCACTGCTAGGATTTGCACAAGTGCTTTTTGGGGTTAGAGCTGGTGGATTAGCTGCAGCGATTTGTCAAAGCCGCCATTCACACCGTTTTACCGAGAGACTGCAGCGAACTCAAGAGATTTGGCTTTTAATGGACTGGATTGGAACACATATAGAAAGAGAGAAGGGCAAGCATTAAATAGACCCTCAAGCTTGCAGGGTAGTGTCAGTTTGCACCTAAACTATTTTTTTTAAAGCTTTTTTAATTTAATTTCGTTCAGAATCACTTAACATAAACGGTTAAATTCTCTGTATCATGATATAATAATGATGTCAATTTTCATTAAAAAAGAGTAGAATTCGAACAAAACATGGATATTAAAAAGCTTTCAATTAAAAACTCATGAACGCTAAAGATATTAATTGATATAAAAAATTATTTAATTTTTTTAATTTAAAATTTTATAAAATTATCTGATAATGCTATTAACCGCAGTTTAACGAATCAATTTTTTTAATTTTGTAATTTATTTATTCTAAAATTTTATAAAATTATCTATTAATGTTATTAACCGTAGTTTAATGACTTAATTTTTTAATTTATTTTTTTTATTAAATTTAAATTTAAATTTTAAAATTTATTTGTATAAGATTTGTTTTAATATAATTTAAACAACTTAATTAATATAAAGATAACTCAATTAACCTATAAAAAAATATGATGATGAAATTAAAAAATTAAAATTAATAGAAAAAAATTTCTTGAATTAACTCTTAATTAACCTAAATTTAAATTTAAATTGCATAAAAATTATCTGATATAATTATGATGATTATAAGATAACCCGGAAACTACAACAGAAATTTGAGGATGAAAAAAAAAAAAAAAGACAGTGAATCTACACGAAGAATCCAGGTAATGATCTATCTGTTACATTCACAAATCACAAGCCTTCATGATCCTATACCTGGCCATTTGAATCAATTACAGGAAAAACAGCAACATACAGGGCAGATGCATGTGGAAGAGCTGCTGCACCTCCACACAGGATACATGTCAGCCAGATTTCTGTGTCCCAGAAAACTTTCGCTTGATGAGGAACCATACTCTAACTCGATTATAAATCTATACAACAATGAGATATAAACACACAAAGGGATACCTCTTGAAGGTTAATCATTCTATAGCAGTGTAAAATAGGACAGAGAGTAATGAGAGCCAATGAGGTAGAGTCTGCAATAAGGAGGAGGACAGCTAGCCTCTTCCATCCCCCACCCAGTCGTTATTCTCCTTCGGCCCAGTAGAAGCTTCTTCTCCATAGAGCTCCACTGGTAACTTATCAAATATGTTCTCACTGAATATCTATACTCTCAGGCAAATGATTAATAATCTTATCTAGCTCAGTTCTTGAAGATACTCTGCTGCCATATTTTCATAATGGATGCTTCATGCTTTAATCCACGTATAAACTACTACGTGCTGCATCATTCCTTATTCCTGTCCGAAGTTTAGGGGAACCCTGAATGTAACACCCGGGATGAGGGAAGCTAGCATGTCCACTTTTTGACGAGTAAACAGTAGCTCTGTTCCCGGCTATGCACACCAAATCATAAGCTTCAACACCTTCACCACCACTGTTCCATAGCTGTCCAGTAAGTTGCATGCGCGGGAGTGAAATGCTCCCCATCGCCTGCATGCTGCCCAATTATGTCGAGAGCAATATTCAGTTGGTCCATTGAAGGGACAGAAAACCCACATTGCAAGATCAGTGAAAGTCCCAACTAGAGCAAGGCTTCGCATGGACGTAAAGTTTAGCACTTTCCAAGTTGCCCTGTTTGACAATATGTCTTCTGTCATTGGAAGGTAAGTCTCTCCAAAATGACCATCATTTTCCCCTCCGCCTGGAAAATTAGTGCCCCCAGCATCTATGGGTTCGCCGGACAAATCCCCAGCTCTGTACAAGAGGGCTCCATTTTTGAAAAACCGTGACATAGAAGATGGCAAATAGACTTCATCAGGATGAAAGAAAACCGAAGGCCCGTGGCCGTAGTGCTTGATGAGTGCATGGATTTGCTCAAGGTTTGGCATGGCATGTAGTTGATGATCAGATCTAAATTCTTCAAGCAAGCAATGTTCAACTCCTCTTGAGAGGCCCAGTAGCCGCAGAAAAATGTTCCAACTGAAACACCTTTCCCTCGCATTCCTCGTTGGCTGGGCCTTGGACTCCAAACACCATTAAAGCAATTGATAGGTTCTTTCAAACTACAAAGCATGAAGGACAACGTTTCTTCAAGACATTAGCCACCACCTAGAAGACTATAAACAAAAGAACAGAGTCCAACTTCACAAATTAGCACTGTTGAGATGACAAGGCAAAGTCATGCGAAGCCACTCTCAAAGCTCTTTCTTTTCCGTTATATCCAATCCAAATGAGAAATGAAACATCAGCAATCAGGCTCAGGCTTGATCAACTATTTTTTTTTAATTAAACAGTAATTAGATGGCACTGGTTAGTGTATCGAGATAGAAAAAACAGGGAAAATGGAGGGGGGAAAAAACATATTTTCCTGTTCTTAAAATATATATATCTAATCTAGAATTCCATTTTTATCCGCATCTTTTCAATTCTAACGCGTTTTTGTATTTTCAGTATCTATTTTTTTATCAAAAAAAATCAATTATACCCATCAAGAAATGAGAAGCAAACACAAATTTGAGAGCACATTGTACCCAGAGAAATTCAGTAACCGGACAAAAGATGAACTTGCTTGTTTTCTACACCCAGACAAACGATAAAACGCACGCGTTCTGCATGGGAGAATCCACCGTGAGCGCCACGTGTACGGCAAGAAGCAAAAGAACAAGCCAAATTAGACAGCAATAGCTGGTAAAGAACACGTGTCAAGCTAGACTCCAAAACATTAAACATGACGCTGCTGCGGCGTGTTCTTTCGTGCCATGTTTCATCATGTTATAAATTTAAATTATTAATTTTTCTATGATTTTTAAATAATAAATTTGAAATGTAAATTTACCATGAGAGTAATACTACTCGCTCGTAAATCTTGAATAATTGATTTGATAATTTATTAATAATTCATTTTTTTAATTTTAAAGTGGTTAGTCCATCTATTTCAATCAATAGACTATATAATTTTTCCAAATAGATTCTGAAGTTTTTAAAATAAAAACTTGTAAAATTATATTAAAAATAAATGATTTAGTATACAATTAAAATTACAATAATAACTCTACAATCTATAATATATTTTTTTTATTAAATCTAAAACTAATTTGTTCATGGTTAAAACCTGCTCGAGGCAAGGATCAAACAAGTTAATATATTTTTTATAATAAAAATATCTTAAAATATGGTTTTTGACCATTTTATTTTTTAAAAATCAATTAATTTCTTACCCAATCAAGAGTCAACTCTAGTTTTTAAGTCGGGTTAGTTTTCACCCTATTTTTTTTAATTCAAACCTGTTTAGCCTCCGAGTCATTCAACCGGCCCGGTTCGTGTTTCGTAGCAACGATCTAAGCAAGAAAAAACAATGTAGACTTTTCAAAGACGGTGGTGGCATCCGAAGAGCATCCGCCTCCTAATTTTCAAGTTCAACGACGAGAACTTTCCATGTGTCCTGCAACTGTAGAATGAATGGACTTGCTTTAACAACTTGTACTAGGAAAACGAGTTGATATTTTATCATGCCAGCCCCATCTCACAGCTAGCATCAAAGATTTCTCCACCACACAAATAATCTATCATGTCAAAGACCTTTTCCTCCCCCCCCCCCCCCCCCCCCCCCCCCCTCTTTACTATGCTATAAATGCAGGTTGTTGACGAAGTTCTAGATGGTCTTGTTCATCTAGTCTGTCATCCTTCTGGGCTAGCTGGCTTCTTTCTCTTCGACTAATCTCATACGAGGTGTTCAAGCTCAAGGGACTGTTTCGCTTTTGCGTGATTGCATCTCAAAAGGGTACAGTGCCTTTTCATTTTGCTTGTGATGCTCTTGCTCAAGGATGTAGTTTGGCTTGATTTGACTTTGTCCCGTGTCCATAGACACCATGGCTTGTAAAGCCAATTCCACCCTATAGGACATTACTTTCAGGGCATTTGCTCAACTGTAAAGCAGTTTTTTATTGAGTTTTGTCTTCTAGGGGTTGGACATTTAAGCATGGCTAGCTTATTAGCTTCGGCCTCTGGCTTTGGTTCCGAGCCTTTAAAATCTTATCTTCCATGAGTTTTGTTTCTTTCTTGATCTATTCACGGAATCTTACACCCTTGACCCTTGGTTTTAACAGCTAAAGGGCTACATGTCACAAGCAACCATGTTGCTAAGGAGCTCTTCAACACCAGTTCTTGGATCCCTGCTCTCGTCTTTCTCCGACAGCGCTAACAACAGCAGCAGCAATCACCACCATGATATTAACACCGCATTCAAGCACAGCCCAATTCACCACCAAAGCATAAACAAACTTCCGTACCACCAAACTGGCTGCTTCTGTCTCAGCACCATCTCCTGCAACTCCTCTCCCATCTCTCCTTCCATTTCTGAATTCTCTGGTCGTTCCCATCAAGGCTTTCGTCGTGCTCAGTCTGAGGGAAACCTTCAACGGATACTAGACTATTCTTCTAACAACAACGATGAACAGCACTACAATCCGAACCAAACCAGGAAAGTCTCCGGGAGATCAAAGTGCTTGATGTTAGAAACTATACCATCATTTTCTTTTAGTACTTTGCGAGGTCGCTATGAGGATGAGGATGAAGAAGATGAAGATCAGAGTGACGTCCAAGATGAGGAAGAGAGAGCAGAATTAGATGAGAATGCGGCGGCGGAAAATGGCCACTTCGGTTTAAGTAATAAGACGGAGAACATGGTTTTGACTGAGGAGGTGAGAGTCATGGATAGGATTTGGAGCGTAAATTTTGAAGAGAAAAGAGAGTGGATTAGTGAAGAGATGCACCTTGCAAGAGGGCCTGGCATTGATTGTGGTAGTAATGGAAATGGTGGTGGTGGAGGTTATGGTGGCAGAAGTGGAGGTGGTAGTGGTGATGAGTTTGATTCAGGAGGTGGAGACATGCATGGCACGGAGGAGTATTATAAGAGGATGGTGCAGGAAAATCCAGGCAACCCTTTGTTTTTGAGGAACTATGCTCAATTTTTGTATCAGGTGAGTCCTGTTCCATTACCTCAAGTCTAATTTCTTTCTTTTTATTTGGTTCAATGGTAACGAGTATAGTTTAAATCAGCTTGAGCGTCAATCGACCAGTCTCTATCTTTCTCGGATGATCTTAAGAACACATCCCTCGCATGGAATTTTTAACTGTTACTTGCTCAAAACTGATGCTAAAACCACAAATATTTCGCAGACAAAGCGAGACCTTCAGGGAGCCGAGGAGTATTACTCCAGAGCTATCTTAGCAGATCCTAAAGATGGTGAAATACTGTCACAATATGGAAAGTTAGTATGGGAATTGCATCAAGACCAAGATAGAGCTTCGAGCTACTTCGAGCGTGGGGTTCAAGCTTCTCCAGAAGATTGGTAAGAAAAGCACAACATTATATCCTAGAATCAGATTATGATCATCAAGGCGCTTCAGCTTAACAAATTCTCGATCTTTGTTTACAGCCATGTTCACGCAGCATATGCTAGTTTCCTATGGGAAACAGAGCATGATGATGGTGATGATGATGTCGAATGTAAGGTGCCGCCGAAAGATTTCGATGCTAAGCCACCACATTTCCATGAAGGAGAAGTGGCTTTTGCCAGAGGTTAAGCTGTTAAACTGAAGCCATTGTGGTTATGGAAAAGAGAGGAGGAAGGTACAAGAGAAGAGAATCCATGGCGAAAAGCACCAGCTATGTAAAAACTGTATCATAATCAAGATCATCGTGTCTATCAATAAATGCCTTCGATTCCAATACTAGAATTGCTCAAAATTAGAACACTCTGTCAACTGTGTTGAATGACAGCAGTTGGTAGGCACTAGTTTTGTACTCAGCACCCCACCGCGGAGCGCCTATTATTTTTCAATTAAAAAAAATGAATACGCAGGCAATGTATTTTTAGTGATATAAGAAAAATTCAATCACAAATTTTCAAAATACAATTAAAATTAAGATATTTAATCTTATAATATTAATTATTTACTTAGTTGTATTTAATAATTATATTTCTTAGAATATTATTTTCATTTAATAAAACAAAATTTTCATAATATTCTTAATTATATGACAATAAAATACATTTTATATGAAACACCAAGTAAAATCTTCATTAACAAAAATAGCCCATTAACAAAAGAAATAGCCCAGAGGCGTGGAGCTTTCAATTTACATACCTGGGCCTGCACAGGATTAGTTTTTTCAATAAAAAAAAATTATTTTTCAATATTTTTTTAATCCAAAACACCAAGTAAAATCTTCATTAACAAAAATACTAAAATAAAACACTTCTTATCAAAACCTAAAACAAAAGAAACTTATTAACACTGAAATTAACTACTTTATGAGCAGAATAATCGACAATTTTTACGTGTAGAATAATCCACAATGACTTCTTTATCTCTAAAAATCTAATAAACCTCTCTTATAAAATACAAATCTAAAAAATATAAAGAAAATAATATTTGATACGTAAAATTAAATTTAAATCCACCAAAGAGATTGAGCATCCACTAACTAAAAAAACCTAAAATACCAAAATAAATTTTCCAAACAAAATTCAAAATTACATCCAATTTTACCCCTAAATGGGAAGGGGGCTAATTTGGGCTCCGCATATAGCAAAACGACAAACAATCCCACGAAGAAAAAAGCTCGTTCAAAAGAAAAATTGCTCTTCTAAACCATAAAATCAGCAAGCAGATCACATCGATTCACCACATTGAGCTTGAATCAAAAATTTCCCACTCGAACTGTGTGATAAAAACCATTCAAGGGGATTCGAAGCGTATCTATATAAACAAGAACAAATAACACAGAATACATTTGAAACTCCTTTCACGTGAAATGACACACCTTAAATAGTACATATCTTTCCTGAAACCAATCAAAGGAAAATATTCAATCAGGAATCAACAACTCAGAAAACCTGTATATAACCTTCAGATCAAAAAACCCAGGTCCAGGCAGAGTGATTCTTCCTTTTCACGCTTCTTTCCCTGATAACCTTCGTCCTATCAGAAAGCACGCTGATAGAAACCATTGCCTCTTGCTCTGTTGTAGTCACCACCATCTTGATTGCCTCCCCTTCCCAAACTACGGCCACCAAAACGCCCCCTTGGTGCATCTGTTTGGTAACCTCTCCCTCTCCCTCCTGCACAGAACACAAATCAAGCAACTTTTTTACAGGGCTGCAATAGCACAAAGGTCACAAGCATTGACTGCCCTAAGAATGATATGGCAAGTGATGACAGTAATATTGCTTTCCAAAGGCAACATGGAATAATCTAAGTCCTATAACAGGTACATGAACAAACCGCCACCTCAGCCATTGAGGTTTTCCCACACTTGTAATGGATACCTTCACAATCACCACAAATAAACATTTATTTGTGGCATCAACTCTATCAAAACTGCCACTGCTTAAAAAAAAAATCATCAATCAGGTACCATAGTGCCACCTTTGTCCTATTATTGTATGGATTTGATCCCAATACAAAAGACTTCTCCACTTAACAATTACAACTAAATAAAAAGAGAGAGATAGAGAGAGAAGGAATGAATGAATGCACATACTTCCACCTCGAGAAGCAATACTGCTGCTGGGTCTTCGCTCCTCAATGTAGACTGGCCTTCCAGCCAGCTGTATTGGAGATGCCTGCATTGAATAAATGGGAGAGAGAAAAAAAGTTGAGCAGAAGAAATACTATGCAAAATACAGCATCAGAAAATGTTGAAATCTCCAGACATAAATGTGCCTGGTGTTTGCATCACAAAAAAAACAAAGCACTACTATCAAATAACATGTCTATATTTCTCCGAAATACAAACATGCATGGATTTAATTTTCATTCTACAATTAATCTTAGAAGGTTTCCCATGGCTGTCGGTCCAGGTTTTGCCCGTCAAAAGCCAATCATAGGAACATGATAAACCAATTCATAGCATCTTACCAAATATTTACAAGGACTAAAGAAAATCAAATGAAACTTGAACAAAGCTAGAACCATGAGATAAATCAAATGATTGAGAAATTCCATCCTTATAGATGCTGAAGGCTACGAACAAGCACAAAGGGGAACGCATTGACAATAAGCATAGAGATAAATTGGAAAGCAAATAACATAAAAAGAAAACAATCCTTAAATGATATTAAATTCGAACCTTGATTGCATTTTGAACACTAAGAAGATCTTCAAACTCAACAAAAGCATAGCAAACACCAACAACATCCTGCATGAATCAATTGCTATTTCAGCCACCGTGAATGTTACATGCCAACATATAGAGGAGAAGACAGAAGGTTCACCTTGCGATTCCTAACAAAAACACCATCAGGTTTGATTCTACCAAAGTGTTTAAACTCCTCCTCAATTTCAGCAGCAGTAACATCAGAGGGCAAGTTTCTCACATAGACAGATTTTGGTTCACCTGTATGGGAGGATGATCAAGAATCAACTTGATGCTTTCCAACTATGTTAATTGCTACAGGAATATGTTCTCCCAGGTTTCAAATATAAAGAATGCAACACTGCAAATATAAATATCATTCAAGGGAAAAAAGTGATCAGCTACAAAAAACATTGTGCAGTGAGGAAAAATTGCCCAGATAGTTGTGCTGCTGCCAAAAAAATAGTTCGTGTTGAAAACATCTCACAAAAACTTGCAAAATGTATAAAGATTGTGGCAATTAAACAAGAAATCAAGGTATTGTGTTCGCTGGCATTGAGCTCATCAACTCCTTCAAAGACACCAGTCATATCTGGAGTATAATTAGCTAAAAAATTCAAAAGTTTCATCGAAAAGTAAAAAACGGTAGAATGCATAAATTAAGCAGGATCACTGAAAAATTCAGACAAGGGAGAACAATATCACCAGAGCACAGTAAGTCATGTTATAAAGATCAGCTTTTAAGGTAGAATCATATGCTTGACCTTCATCCACTCCAAAGCTTTCTTCTGTAGCCTCAACTCCAGTTTCCGTTGCATATGATACAGATTCTGGCTGCAGTGCAGTGGTTGTCGGCATATGATTCCAATCAGAAGTTGCAGGGGCACTCTTGTTAACAGGCGGCTGAGTGGCAACTGATGAAGAAGATGGCCCCTTGGAAACTAGTAGCTATCACATGTCCACCATCAGAAAAAGTACAGAGTAAAAGTTACTTTCCATGTCCCAGTGAAAATAAGTTAACAAGAGATACCACAGGAAAATAATGAAAATAAAAACAACTCTGTTCCTGTAATATTTTAAGCAAATACTATCCCTCATCCCCTTCTCTTTTGTACATACATTATGTTTTTTGTGCTGGTTTAAATTTTGACTATATATGTGCAAAGTTTATCACCTTGATCTTTCACAACTTTTATGCCTAGCTTTGTATATTAAGAAGGCATCAACAAAGTGGCCTTCATCAGAATTGATTGTACTCAAATGTTAAAATAACCACTTCTAAATCATTTTAGTATGCCTTGTGTGGCTAAAAAGCAAAAAGATGCAAAGGTGCATGCAAAACAAAACAAGAAACAAACACAAGCAAAGAAGAGATGCCTACTATTGAAGCGTAAGTTTTCTTTTGAGGCTCTTCCATGGGTTCTTCTGGGGCAGCAGTTGGAAAATCTTGCCCAACATTTACAGCATTGTGAAATGAAGCAGGTGTTTCCACTACAGGAGTTTCATCTACTACAATTTCAGTCTCAAAGTCTTGTTGCTCTTGTTGCTCTGGGAGACTGTACTTGTCAACTGGATCATCATCTATGCGAACTGAGTTCACATATTCTCTAGCTTCTTCCTCCAAAACATAGTCAGAAACTGCCAAAACTCACAGATTAGCCCAAATAATACAAGGAATTATGTTGCAATATCAAATGACCCTCAGAAACTGGAAACCAAGAGATTAAAAGTTCATTGCTTTTAAAATTAACAAACAAGTGCACACTCATACAATACTTCTTTTTTTTTTCAGTTAAACTACTAGATCCAAACTTATAAACTCACCCCACCCCCACCCTTTCATAGCTCAAACCAAAGCCCAAGGACAAGCAGACAATGAAAAAAGGGAAATTCTTACTTCATCACACCAATATAAAACCACACTACTCGATTCACAATTAAATCTAATACTTCACTGTACCCATCATCATCCTATTACCTGGAGGCTCCGGGGGAGAGTGAGAAGAATCTAATTGTGCATCAAAAGTCTCGTCAGATGATACAGCCACTGGATGTTGCATGTACATGTTTTCAGATGGCCTGGGTGCTAGATTTTGTTGGTAAACAACTCCATCATCAACAAAGTGAAAGATATCATTGAGAACAAAGTAACCTTTCTCCTGTGGAGCCAGGAAAAAGGTCTGAACAAATTTCCTTCTATTAACAAAATCCTTGGTCTTAACAGAACCAGACACCATAACCAGAACTCCTCCATTCCACGACTCGAGCGAATTGATAGTCTTGATTTCAATAGCAGAAAAGTTTAAAGACATGACAAGCGCATGAATTTGCTGGAGAGAAATAAAGCACAAACAATTCAATGAATAATTACAATACAAGGAAAGACAGCACAATAATTGGTAAGAAAAATTTCCAAGCATAATAAATAATTATTCCCATGCTCATTTTCAACACTGGTCATCCTACCAAAAACCATTACCCTCAACAAAAAATTCACAATGATACATGTGTTTACTTTCATTCAATATACACAACATTTCTGCTATAAAAAATCAGAAACACTAAACATTTCAAAAAAGGTTGTGCACGACTACCCCTGAATAAAAAC